AGAAAGAAAGAAAGAAAGAAAGAAAGAAAGAAAGAAAGAAATCAGAGGTTTTAGCAAAACGAAATTGGAATATTTCATCCAATGCTCCATGCATTCAATGTATAGGCAGAACTTGTGAAAATTGCCTTTGAGACTACGATCTCCAGAATCCCCTGCTTACTGGGTGATTGCCATCCAAAAGCATGGTCTCCAAGTGTCCCGATTTGGCAGAAATGGTCCCAATTAATCCTTTGTCTTCCCACTTTTTGAGCTGCTGTTTAAATGTCCCATTTTCTCTCTCCTCTTTTCACTTTCCCCTTTTGTCTTTGGATTACTTCAGTTGCTGCAAACTGAGTTCAAAGGGCAAAAGTTGTTTGCATTCCTTTAAATCAGGAAGGGATCAAAGAGAGGAGGAGGTGGAATCTTGCCCTTCCCAGGAGGCTCAGGCAAAAGCAACCTGCTGCTCCCTCTCCTGGCTTGGACGTTCATTCTTAGCAAAATCTTTTGCTGTCTTGACCACACTCTGATGCTGCATGGTCACATGTGTCCCTATCTTTGGAGCTTATCGCTCCGCTAAATAAGCCAGCTTACCTTTGCCAGCTTCAATCTCCTTCCAGGATTCCCCTAGATGTTATACGTAAATCGCCGCCAATTTAGCTGCGATGCCACCAGGCAAATACAGCCCGGGTCAGACTTGGGTCAAAGCCGTGTTCAGCCACCAAATTTTAGAAGTCAAAAACTTTTGATTTCGAAAAAGTGCCAGCTGAGTGTAGCTTTGGCCCAAGTCTGACCCAGCCAGTGGCATCACACCTAAATTGGAAGTGATTTACATATGATAACATCCGACAGTATCCCAGAAGGAGACTGAAGCCGGCAAAGGTAAGCCGGCTTATTTGGGTGTGCAATAAGTTCCTATGTCTAGGAAATGTTAGAGGGTTTGCATGGATCAGTCAGCTTTGCTTTCTCTCACATGTGGATTGGCATCCTGTTGGTATTTTATGCACGTTTAGTTCCCTTTTCTTTCTTTCATTCATTCTTTCATTCATTTTATTCATTTATGTTCCACCTTTCTCCCAATAAGGAAGCTCACAACCTATTTAAAAGCAGATTAAAACTAGACAAAGTCGTTAATAAAAGCATAAATAGAAGAGTTCTTTAAAAAGCAAATAAACAACTAGTAAAGTTAAAATATTAAACACTAAAAACATTAACATTCCTTATCCATATCCATTATCCATAATTTTTTGTAATTTTTTTTATCCCCCGAGGGCCACATGAATGGCCCTCAGGATTAAGAAAAAAAAATTACAAAAAATTATTGTTGTTGTTGCTTTGTGCCTTCAAGTCATCCTCGACTTATGTCAACCTGAAGGTGAACCTATCATGGGGTTTTCTTGGCAAGATTTGTTCGGAAGAGGTTTGCCATTGCCTTCCCCCCCGAGGCTGAGAGCCTGTGCCTTGCCCAAGGTCACCTAGGGGGTTTCCATGGCCAAGGTGGGAATCGAACCCTGGTCTCCAGAGTCACAAACCATGAGGTACCTCTCCCCAATTAGTTGCCATCTTCATGACGTCCCTCTTTGGTGAGTCCTATTGAAAAAAGGATTAATGCAGGTAATGAGAAGTACCATTCTTCTTCCAGGTTCAGTCCCCTGGCCAGGTACTCTACTGCTGACCTATCCAAACTGGGGTCTGTGAGTTCATGCATAATAACTATGTACCCTTCAGCCTTCTTTCAAAAACATCGCATCTTACCAAATTCTCACTTTAACCCCATGAAACTATGCACATGTAAATCCATTGCAACTGCGCATATGATACTGTAATCGAAAGGTATAATTTTAATTTGGCTAGTTGTTGACGTCGCCGCTATTGCCATCACTTTGACTGATATATGGGAATGACGATTTAGGAGTACAAAAAACATGGCTAAGGATTCTGGATGGTGTGGTATGGGAAGAGATCAATAGAGGGGGTGACTCCATGAGTTGCTGCACCGGGTGATGCCAACCCGAGTGATGCCAGTGGGGATGGAGTTTCAACAGACCACTGTAATGCCACCTTCCCACCCTCCCAAGTTATGCCTGCTGCCAAATAGAGAAGCCTGGTAGGCAAAAATGAGTGAGACTCACACACACCCCAAGCATCATCCAACCAAGTCTCTGTAATGCCAGGTCTCCTGTTGGCATGCTCATCAAGGATCAAGTCCTGAATGGCAGCTGTCTTCCCATTTACCAACCTGGCATTCACCAGCAGCACTTTCAACCCAGGGTTGTGTTGCCAAGTAGTAGTAGTAGCAATGCTGAGTGGCTCTGAGGACCATTCGAATACTTGAAATCCTTTCAGTGTCTGACCCTGGGTGGCCATGGTTACACACATACCACTTCCAGGCTGAAATTTCAGGAGGCATGATTGCACATTTTTACAGCCGCACATTTGCATGCGTTCATGAAATGGACTATCAATGAGGATGCGCCAACCGATATGGCTTCCCTTGCTCCACACAGAGGCAAGTCAAGTATTCTTGAAGCATGCCAGAGCCCATCCATTAGGGTGGCCACTTGCGCAGCGCCGAGAGACAACGGAAAACATCCCTGCAAAAGGTGATAAGAGGAGACGCCACTTTGCATCACATTGGCGGATTTATACATGTCTTTTTTTTTTTTAATGGAAGAATTTACTGTAGTCAAGAGAACTATTGTACAACTTGTACATATGGGGCCTAGGGGGTATAGGGAAGTGTGCAGCCCTCTTGAAGTCCTTGGACTGCAACTCCCAGCAGTCCTGGTCAGCATAGCCAATGGGGAGGGGTGATGGGAACTGCAGTCTGGCAACATCCAGCGAGTTGTGGTCAGTACTCATAGAAATATGCATGAGGGAAAATCCAATTTTAGTCCTCATGAGAGCAGACCCACCAAAATCAATGAGAGTTTACCCGAGTGGCTCTATTCTGTACCCTACATCCTGTAAAAATAAAACAATAAAGACCTGTTGGAATGCCCTGCCACAAGATGTAGTGATGGCTGTGGACTCAGGTGGTTTAAAATGGCTCTGGGTTCTAGTTTGAAATTTATCCAACATGCTGAACCAGCTAAGGGGCAGGAATTTGGATGGCTCTTGTACAATGCAGGCTGAAACCTGGAATGGATTCACCACCCTGCCGACACCAAAGCTGCCACTCCTGTTCCTCAGGGATGCAGGGCTATGAGGCTGGAAAAGTAACTGCTGGTCCTTTAAGGACCACAGCTTACCTCCAGAGAGGGAGGAATTCTTCTGAGCTGCCCCTCTGCTTCAGGCTGGTCTAGTCTATAATCCCTGGCTGAGACAGCATCTCTTCTTATGAGAGAGGATGCCAAGCTTGATCCCTTGCAGTGTGCTGTCCATGGTCCTGATAGTTCCTCTACTTGCTCTCCTGGACCTGCTGAATTGGTTTACAGGAGCCAGCATGGTGCAATGGTTTGAATGTTGGGCTACAACTCTGGAGACCAGGGTTCGAATCCCCGCTCAGCCATGGAAACCCATGGGCATGACCTTGGGCCAGTCAGCCTCCGAGGAAGTCAATGGCAAAGCCCCCTCTGAACAAATCTTGGCAAGAAAACCCAGTGAGAGGTTTGCCTTAGGGTCACCGTAAGTCAGAAGCAACGCGAAGGCACACAACAACTGGTTTACAGGGCTTTTCATGGCATGCAGGGCTGTTTTGTGGGTGTATCCATGCCTTTTATATAGATATAAAAGATCTTTTGTAGCTTTTAATGAATTTTAATGTTTCCACTTCCATACATTGTTGGATTGCCTTTGAAATAACTTTTGTGTTTATACTTCAATTGAAGTTTTTGTACAGTTTTTAAATCTGCATTGCTCTTAAATATGTTGTGAGCTGTCTTGACTCCAGGACGTAAATGAATATTACTACTACTACTACTACTACTACTAAAACAAGAACAAAAGGAGGACTCTGTTGCACCAAGGGCAGACCTTGTTCTAAATAAGTAGAGAGAAAAAGTAGGAGCCCAGAAACAACTTCTGCTCCTTGTTGCCAAGATGGAGGACTTTCATTCACAGTCTGGATGCATCATCACTGCAAGAAGAATGCCATTTGACACCACTTTAACTGCCATGGCTCCATACTACAGAATCCTGGGATCTATAGTTTTGTGAGGCACCAGCACTCTCTGGCAGAGAAGGGTCAAAGCCTTGTAAAACTACAAATCTCAAGATTCCATAGAATGGAGCTCCAGCACTCAAAGTGATGTCAAATGACATTATTTCTACAGTACAGATGCAACCATTGCCAACCCCACTTCAAATGCCAAGGACTTTGGGTATGCTGTAGAGTTGGGCCACATGTGGCCTCCAGGTCATTCTTATGCCCCCCTAGAAAACCAAACCTGTGAAATCCCACCCAGGTCCATTTCGACAACGAACTGCTTCTATCCCTTGCATACCAGAAAGAAATCTGCTGCCGACTTGAATGGAAAGCTTTCTTCTGCACAGCTCACAGCCCAAGCTGGGGTGTGTGAGAGATTTTTGCTGCCCCCTAGACCTGCTGGCATTGCCCACATCTGTCCAGCTGGGCATCTGTTTGCATTCACCCATGCAGGCGGGGGTAAAAAACCCACCTCGCCCCTGCTTTCTTGGTCGTGCCAAGAAAGATTGGGTGGGCACTCTCTGGTGAGTGCAGGCAGCTCTAACAGATCTGCTTATCATAGAATCTCCTCCCTCTCTTCTCCTCTCTGCTAAGAACCAACCTGCCCAAGCCCAGGCAGTTAATATTTAACTGAATAAAGAGCCATAAATATGGAAAATGGGACTTTTAATTAAATAAGGAGCTTTTAAAAAGACCCTTGGGCTGGAGTGGCTTTTGTTTAAATATGATTGATGGGCTTCTCTTTCTCTTCCGCTTGTTAAAAGTCCAACAAGAGGGGCTGGCTGGTTTCTGTCACTCTTCAGCTGGCTGGCTGCTAAGCGGAGTGTCTTCAAGGTGGGCAGGGTGTCCTTGCTTCAAGACGAAATACAAGCCAAAGTCGAGAAGGAAAACAGAGTGGCAAAAATGGTGCAGTTTGGTTGCACGGCTTAGAATTCCACCCGAATTCCTGCCCCATAAAATAAGTATATTGGATATTCAGTCCTTGCTTCTTCCTCCCAACATGGACATGTGTGCACAGTAGGCCATGCAATTCTTCTAATGCATGCAAGAGAGTCAGAGTGGTGGAGTGGTTTGAGCATTGGACTATGACTCTGAAGACCAGGATTCGAGTCCCGATTCGGCCACGGGAACCCACTGGGTGACCTTGGTCCTTGTATTCAGTATTCATTGTCACCCAAATGTCCCCAAAATATCTATTTTGGAGGTGATGGAGGCATACAGGAAAGGGTCGGGGTCTTCTGGGTTCTCAAAGGTTGCCAACTCTTGGCAGTTCCCAGCCCTTCCTATATACTGATACAGGCTGAATCTACCTTATCCAGAATTCCAAAATACTCCAAAATCCAAGATTGTCCACGTGGTTGGCTGAGATAGTGACACCTTTGCTTTCTGTTGGCTTTGTGTCATGCACAAAGTTGTTAAAACAATTGTGTACAGAATTACCTTCAGGCTAGATGTATAAGGCTCATACCAAACATAAAGGATTTTCATGTTTAGGCTTGGCTCCCATCTCCAAGATATCTCATTATGTATATGCAAATAGTCAAAAATCTGGGCGGGGGGAAATCCAAAATCCCAAACACTTCTGGTTCCAAACATTTCAGATGAAAGAAGACTCAACTTGTAATGACGTATGGTTCCCCAAGTGCCAGTCCTGGTGAAAAGTGGCATCCAAAAGGGACATCCTGAAGGTCTAGCCTTAGGTTTCCAATGTGGCCACTGCCGAAACACAGGCCTGAATTCTGCATCTATGAAACAAACAGATGTCAATGCACCTATTGAAAGCGTCCTGATGACCAAAGGTGGGGAACAGAAGAGGGAGAGCCGGTGCATTGCCCTCGGCTCTCGTAGATCATTTTGCAAACAGCTGCGGTCTTCTTATGAAAAGAAACCCTTGTCAAGTTCAAATGCCTTGATGAGGAGTTATGTCCCCCAAGTTAGCACTGAAATAACAGAGCTGATTAGCACAGAGGATGGAATATTTTAAACAGATTTCTCCATGAGGATGCCAATCCTAGTAAGAGCCCTCTACTTTATAGGAAACCTTGCTAGTGACTCTCGTCCTTTCACCAGGTTGTTTTCTCCTTCCATGGCAGCCTTCACTCCCTCTCCTAACAAACTCCAGCTGCATCTGCACTGAAGGAATAATCCAGTTGGACACCACTTTATCTGCCATGGCTCCATGCTATGGGATTCTGGGAATTGTAGTTTGTTTTGACACCCGAGCTCTCTGACAAAGAAGGTGAAATGTCTCACAAAACTCGACCCCAGAATTCCATAGCACTGAGCCATGGCAGATAAAGTGGTGTCAAACTGGATTATTTCTGCAGTGTGGATGTAGCCTCCAGCAGGGAGTACCAACCAGATTGGAATCCAAAGGCAGCCCTTGAGAAACAGGAGAATCTTTCATGGTGGGCTCCCAAGGTTTTACAGAAGTACGACAGCTAGATTCAAAAAGAAACCCTAAGCAAAAATTGTGTTTCTCCCACCACCACCGCCATCAAGAGAAACTCCAATTTAGCAAGGATTGAACATGCTTGGTAGCTATGGAATATTGAGCTTCAGCTGGAAAATGTAGGGAACTTGAACTTTTTCAGTTGGAAAATAGTCTTACCGTCCTTATTCTGGAGACAAAAATCCATGCTTACATTACATGGAGATCAGCCAGAAAAGTCTGATCTACTGCCCAGCCTCTCTCCCCATCTCCCCCAGGAGTTAGGTTGTGATATGGTAGAGAATATATATTTCTTACCAGTGGAAGACTCTTTCCCTGCACCATTGGCTTCTGATAGAAATGCCGGGCCTATATTTTCATGACGAGTGGACTGCAGAATTAAAGCAGTTTGATACCGCTTAACGGCCATGGCTCAATACTATGGAATTCTGGGAACTGCACTTTATTGTGGCACCAGAGCAGAGGAGAGGATTTTAAACAGAGGCTGGATGGCCATCTGTTGGGAGTGCCTTGGTGGTGCCTTCCTGCATGGCAGAATGGGGTTGGACTGGATGGCCCTTGGGGGTCTCTTCCAACTCTAGGATTCTATGATTCTATGAGTTCCATTTTGCTCCTTCTCCCTCCACATCTTTTTGGCCTCATGTATTGCTTCTTATTAGTTTCTAAGCCTGAGGGTAAGGGCTGTCAAATGAACTATTTGTGAGCATCTCTGGGAGCTTTTCGGTAACACCTTGGAAAAAAGAGCCAAAGACAAAGAAAATCAGCATGAGACAGCATCCTCCTTCCTCCCTAGTCAGCGTGATTGCTCAGGTGTGATGGGTTTTGTAGTCATGTGGCCCTGGTGGACGCTAGCATGGAGACGGCTCCCCCAGGCAAAGGGGCTGCTGCACATCTGCCTCCTTGTCTCTGCTCTGCCAAGATGGTGGGCATGGGTTGCAAAAGCCGGTGGGCATGAATCAGGAGTGACATTTGGGCAGAGCCGGCTGACAGCGGTGACCCTCCCCTTCGTGGGCCACTCATCCGTGGTGGCTTGCAGCTACCTGAGCGAAGGCAACTCATCATCTCGTAGGACCAACTCCTCGGCCCTGTTGCTATGGCAGCAGCCCGGGTTTCGTGGAGGCAGGCATGAGTGATGGTGCAGTCTTGTGCCCCAAGGCTTTCTCCATAAAGCTGGGGAGATGGCGGCGCAGGGGCAGTGATGGCAGCTGTAAATCGGTCGTCCAGCCGGTGCATGAAGGCGGCAGTGAGGCCCAGCTTGGGCCTTTGAAGGGAAGAGACCATCAAGGGATTGTGGCAGGCTGCCTTGGGCACTGGAGGGAACAGTGCCATCCTGGCAGATCTTTGCCCTCTCCAGGCATGTTCATGCAACTCTGTTGGGCAGCACAGCAGAACAAACACTAGCCTTGGATTGCAGGGTGGCATTGTTGTCGTGCTACATCTCTCTTCTACCAGAAAGCCATTGTCCTCCTCTCCATGTTTCTTATTCTCCTTTCCTTTCCAATGCCCATCCTCCTAGCTTCATCTCTTAGTATTTCATCACTTTTTGTCTCTTAAGATTGGACCTGCAAGGCTTCCAGTCACAGGGTGTTGATTGTCTTCCAAGCTTCAAAGGAATGGATGGCAAGCCACGTAGTTACCTGTAACAAGTTACTTGTACCCAAGTTACTTGGAGGGAGTGGGTAATGGGTGCAATGAACCACATTTCTACAGGAACATAACAAGCGGAAACCAACCTGGAAACTCCATGGCAAACCTTGGCGGTTTATATGGCCTCCTTACCTTGCTGCACCATTATTCCTACTGGAAAGCCCCCTGTTACCACATCTGTTGTGGAAACAGCGTGCCTGGCCACATGGGTGCAGCCTGGCACCCGGTGCCCGCATCAGATGTAGAGACAAGGGGGCTTCTCAGC